AAAATATGAGCTTTGAGATATTGGGAATTTGAGGCAAAATGTGATTTAGCAAGACCAAAAGGTTGAAAAGTTGAGAAATTGAAAATTTTGAGAAATCGAAAATGTTGAAAGACAGCAGTGAAGTCGTGTGCGTTACAAAACTGAAAACTTGAAAATTTGTAGAAAAACATAATAGGTACTTAAGAATTGGAGAGAGATAAAGGGTTGAAATAGTGGATAATGAAATGAACAACAAACAGGTTGAAGAATTGAAAAGTTGAAATGTATGAGTATGAATGGTTTTGGAAGTTGAAAATTACAGAGAAATGGATTGAAATCGGGATGAAATTGTATAAAGTGAGAATTGAAATATTCAACAATGTGAAAGTGAAAATGATGAAAAGTCAGAAAGCTGAACAACAAACAGGTCGTAGAGTTGAAAAATTGAAGTACAGAAAATCTGAGATGTTGAAGATAATGAGAATTTGAGACAAAATTCAATTTTGAAAGACAGAAAAGTTGAAAATCCGATTTTGAGGATAAAAAATGTAATGGATTGATATATCATGTATGCGTACATGGTGACAAGTTGCATAATTGGAATATCTATTTGATGGTTCGAAAGTGAAAGTTATTAAAAGTTGTAATTGTTGGAAAGCTGAACTACAAACAGGTTAGAGGAATTGAAAATCTGAAGTGTATAAGAGTTGAGGTTTTAAAGTTCTAAAAATTTGTTGTATAATTGAATAGGTACTCAATTTATGAATTTATGAACAGAACCGAGAACAGAACAGTTGAATTAATTGAAATTTGAATTTTAGAGAAAAGACAAAAAAATCACATGAAAGTTTTATATATTACTCAAAATACATTACACATTTCATAGAATAACGACTCCCGATGATCTATACACTACGTAAAATATCAAGTTTTGATTTATTTGATACATTCCTACTCTTCTTCTTAATCGAATATTTTTCAGACGTCGACATCCATTTGCACTCTTTATATAATTTTACTACAATCAAATGATTGATGAGGAATTCAAAATGTATCATGCAGTCATCTGTTAACATTGATGATATCATATTATGCTCCGATATATTTTTAAGCTTCATTTTCAATTTCTTAACAATATTATTTGATGAAGAGGAAGTTGTACTATGATATAAAGCAATAATGCAAGGGTTTCGTAGTCCCTAACTTTTCAGGGTCAGTTTTCATTTTGAGTATATGAAAAAAATTGTACATACTCGTGAAGATATTATCTATGTTCCTGTCGTCTTACTTTTTCGAAATTCGATTCGGTTCCGCCGGAAAAAAAATTGGAAAATCATCCAAAAACACGTTATTTAGCGATTTTTTTAGAAAAAACTGAATCAAATTTCGAAAAAGTGAGACGACAGGAACATAGATTAGATCTTCACAAATATGTACTAATTTTTTCAACCACTCAAAATGAAAAATTAACCTAAAAAGTTAGGGACTACGAAACCCTTGCATGGCAACAATTTGTATCCAGAGAGTGGCGCCGCTCTCAGAATTGATAGGAATTAACATTTATGAATGGAGATGGTATATATACATTTCTCATTTGCAATGTTTACGAGGGTCTGGCATGTGTAGAAAATACAAATTTCATAATTTCAGTGGGATATCAAATTATCATTATTTCATATCATTTCAGACTGCTTTAAAATACCTATAGAAATTCAAGAATATACGGCAATGTTATTACGGTGAGGCTCTCACAATTAACGATCATATTTCTTGGGTTCTCGAAACATGGAAAACCTAATTATTACCTATTTTGAAAAATATAACGTTATCAACGTTTATTTACGCGTATAATTTGAATTAGGATTACCTCGGAATAATGACGTTCGAATCAGAAACAATTATTGTGGAAACGATAGAAAATCTACTGCCATCCAGTTCTAGGCATATCAAAAAAATTGTTATCGCAATAAAAAAGGATGCGCTTTTTTATCGGTATCAAAGTTTTTTTCACGACGACTCATTAGCGCTGCAGTTTGACACGCATCTTCTGACCCTCGCCGCATGATTTACGACCTTTTATAAAAAATAGGTACCGCTGTTTGCTGCCAATGGAAAAGAATTTATGATTTGTGCACAGTGGGAGTATTGCGATTTTGAAATATTTTCAACAATGACGCAGGGGCCGTATAATTTGCTGACCTATATTAGAGTATGCTGACCGAGCATTTCTGATTCGATTTTTTTTTTTCAAATTGCATATCTGAATAGAATATAGATATATAAATGCCACCAGTGAAATTATTATTATTCTCAATTTATTTTTTAATTTTTGATTATCGCTAGCTGGATTTTTCGATTTACTCTCAACGAGCCTTTTCATTTGATACTCATAGTGTAGAAGTATATTGAAAATAGCTATTCCGCCATCTTGGATGGTTCGCCATATTGAATTTAGAATAACGTCACATTCTTTCTCGAATTACTATCAACGAGCCCTTTTATTTGATACCCATATTGTGAAAGTATATCAAAAATAGCTATTCCGCCATCTTTGATGGTCCGCCATATTGGATTTAGAATAACGTCACATCATTTTGCGAATTACTCTCAACTAGCCCTTTTATTTGATACACATATTGTAGAAGTAGACTAAAAATATGACCATTCCGCCATCTTGGATGGTCCGCCATACTCGATTTAGAATGACGTCACATTATTTTTCGAGTTACTCTCAACGAGGTTTCTTCATTTGATACCCATATTGTGAAAGTATATAAAAAATAGCTGTTCCGCCATCTTGGATAGTCCGCCATATTGGATTTAGAATAACGTGACACAACTTATCGTGCATTGTAATCCAAACTGAACGTGCATACAAAATTTCAGCTCAATCGGTTGAAGATTTCTACTTCAAAATTGAGTTCAAAGATTCCACCCGAACATACATACAAACATACAATGCAAGTTAAATGAAAGCTTTTGAAATATTCAAGGACAGATAATAGAAAAATGGAATATAGGTATTTTTGAAGAATGGCCTTTGATGATATGATTGTTCTCTCATAAGAATGATATATAAAATATATTTTTTCTACAAACGTCAAAAAATGACAAGGTTCGCGCCTTGATATTCTTGATAACAAATTGCGAAGTGACACTTTTTTCAGTTTCCTACGTTACCATGATACCTTGCACAAAACAATGCGCGAAGTAAAACAGTGCGCGAAGTACCCACTTCGCGCATTGTTACGTAAAATATATGAGATATTTATATTTCAACCTCATAGTCCTCAATCGAGCAAACATCCACGAAATCATTTATTTCTGGATGTTCAACAATAACTTTGTTCTATCTCTTGAAACGCACGAAAGGAAATTCCTATTTGGTATGCTCGTGGAACATCGTGCGTAACTAGGGAAAGGGGAAGGCCTTTTAAGCCAGTTCAACACTATTTTTTATGTCAAGCTAAGCATATTTTTACATTAGAACTATATTTTTTGACGTTCGTAGAAAAAATGTTGTTTGCAACTCGAGCGCGAAATACTTTGGTCATCTCCACTATTTTTTTAACTCGGCTTCGCCTCTTTGATAAAATCAGATCTCGATCACCAAAGTAGCATTTCGCGCTCTAGATACAAAAATAACTATTTTGTCTCACGACTGTTTTGTAAAGTGAAATAATCTATTGAATCTCGTTTCGTGAATACTATTTATCAAAAACTTTACTATTCATTACAAAGCTCTTCCGCCATATTGAATCCACTATCTCGAATTTTCTATAATTTTGTCCATTAATCTTTAACCTCGAAAACTCCCAGATACCAATTTTGAATAGAATCCGATTATAAATTACAAAACTCGTCCGCCATATTGGATCCACCATATAGAATTTTTGACGAAGGAATCATAATCTCCGACCATGTAAACCCCCAGATACCAATCTTGAATAGAATCTGATCATAATCACAGAACTCGTCATATTGGGTTCGCCATCTCGAATTTCCTAATTTTGAAGAATTTTTGAACTTATTATCCCATATTTCAGATGAATACAATAAAAAATCAAATATCATGAAAATTGTTCCAGCCGTTGTTGAATTAAAAATGGTGTAACTTTCACGAATTTGGACTTCCTTGTATATAGACAGATCTAAACATTCTAAACAATCTAAATTCATCGATTGTTTACCCTAAAAACAGTGCTCCATATCCAAATGCACCTTCAGCTTCTAAACTCTGGAGTTCTCGATCAATTGAATTTCCAAAATTTCTACTTTCTCACACTCATGTCCATTTATTTATTGTCAACTCACGTTCTTGAATTTTCCAGCTTCACATAGGTAGGCACAATAACACATCATGAGTAATCATAATTCGAGCACAATGGAAAACTAATAAAATAACATAATACCATAGATTCATAGATTAAAGATTGAAATCTCTTATACATACCAAGGAAGTCTTATACTAAAAATAATTGTGGTTGCAGTATCGTAGATTAATAATAATCTACATGTACCTACCAATATATTAGAAATCCAACAAAAACTAACATTTGACAACTCTGCTTCTATACGCTGAATGCCATGTTACAGAAATCTGTAAAAAATCGAATTTGCGACCACGCGCGGTAATTCGCAATAGCGGCGATAGATGGTAAAAATTCGGGGTCCCAACTAAATCCCAAACAAGCGTTACCGTCTGAATGCATGGGCGGTGTATATCTAGGGGAGTCGTTAATCTATGGTAGAACGAATACCTACTAGTTGAATTTGACAAGACGATGGGATGTCAGATTATTACGCCATCCTACTGTCATTATTACTCTTATTACTCGATTCATCACAATAATGTTTGTCATTAAATGTTGAGAATGGAGTTAGCAATGTATGAATGACTCCATAGTTGTAGATAAAGGTAATTACTCTGCTTCGTATCAACGTCACGACAGAAGTAAACTGTAGAAATCAATGGAGTTTGACCCCTCATTTCCCACCTATCATAAGATTGTGAGACTTACCAGATCCGGGTAGTTCCAAATCGGCGTGGCATTTTTCTATGAGATATTCGGCAACATCGTAGTGTCCATTCCGGCAGGCTATAACTAACGGGGTGGCCCCGGCAGTTTTGGCCGCCACTAGCATGGACACTTCGTCTTTGCCTTTGTTGCAGTGCAAGTATATCTAGAAAAAACAAAAAACTATTGAAAAAAATCTGCCGAATATAATTTCATTTTGCATAATGAAAGGGTGACTGAAATTCGAGGTGATGCATGGGAATCTCGGAAACGGTAAGAGCTACAGAGAGGGTTAAATGGAAAAAAAGCGCAATTCTATGACTATCAAATTGCCGTTTTGAAATTTGAAAAACTTCGATTACTTCCGAAGCTTTTTGGAAAAACCGAATATTCACGATTTCATTTTTATTTTTTTCTAACTGTATTTCAATAGATGTGAGAAAACAAATCACACATTCTCATTGCTACTTTTTGTGTTCTACAAGATGATATCATCAGATTTTCAAACCGACGTTTCGTCTTTGAGCTGCCATCATAAACTTGTCTTTTTGAATACGGACCTGTAGTTTTTTTACGGATTTCAAGAGCTTTTACTCTCCTGAAATCAAGGCTGTATCGCACTTATTCGAAAAATGGGTTTTTCTGCAACCGACACTAAAGTCGTCCATTTCAATACAAAAATTAGCTCATGTATTGACGTTTCTATTACTGACACAATCATAGGTATGTTGCAACACATTTAGTTCCTAGGAGCTAAAGTTGAACTTTAGCTCCTAAGATCTAAAAACGATGTACTAGATCATCGAGAATAAACAATGATTTCGGCAGATTTGGCATTTCAACATTTCATACCCATGCTGGAGATATAAATACACCATATTATAGTTAAGTATTTTTGGTTTTGAACAGGAAAGCCTTCAAGATTCACATACTTGCTTGATCTGTATTTCATTTGTTATTCTGATCTGTTTGATTGGATAACTTGTTTTTGAATAATTACGGTCAGCAATAATTTTTTGTCACACACATCGATATTGTAAACCTATATTTGATCACCGAGCCAAACACAGTAGAATATGAGGGACTTAAATAATCGCTATTATTATTAATGGTAAGTTGATATGCTCACTAGCCTAACATTTTCCACTTCTTTTTCCTATACCTGTCACCTTACACCTTGTCCACTGCGCTATAGGAACCTTATGCATGAACTATATGAATAGAAACATGTCAACAACATTGTTATAGTAGGATAATAATTAACCTTGAGACTAGAGAATAATAAGATGAGTCATTGGAAACATTTTGAATATTGATACAAGAATAACATCCATATCATATTTTGATACGATTCTGTATATCCTCCGAATATTCTGAGATTATGTCAAATTGAATGTTCATAGAATATTTCTTGCCAGTATGAAAATATAATCATTCTGAGAACATTTTATCAGAACGTTGTCAGAATATTCGTGAAATATTCTGTACTGTTTGAAATATTATTACGGATTAACACGTCTAGTCATTTATTATAATTAGAATGAATAATACACCCAATGCCATTGCTTCTACTGAGAAAAATAGCAGGTCGTTGGTATTGGAATAAAACGACGCTGCAAACGCGAATGCGAACAAGAACAACAGAATCGGAAACGAATCAGAATTCATCGTACTGTGACGTAAGCATGAGACGTCGTGGTGGGACAAACAAAGAAATGGTACAGAAGAACAAAAACAATACTTTCAATATCCTTCAGAGACATATTTGGGAAGTGCATATTACGTCTCAAGAAAACATCCCAAAACATCCCAGGGATACATCCTCAGTAGGCAAACAAAGAAATGTCACATAACTCGTTCGCTTGGTTTGCTTTCTTCTTCTCTCTATCAGATACTCGTGAACCTCAAGGCGCATTTATTTCAATAGATGGTATCCCCATGAGAAGACTTCTTTCGCCAGACATGTATGTCTGGGAAAAAATTAACTTCGCGAGGTACAAATGTACAGGGTGATTCAAACTTCCCGCCCTTGGCTCATAACAGGAAAAGGAAAACTGCAAATGCAAATTTGACACAGGAAATCAAAAATCAAATTGGCGTAAATGGCGTCAGAAAAATTATTTTCCCACAACGTTACCATATTTTTCTCATATTCTGAAAATACATATTATATTTTTTCGAATAATTTTCATCCAAAAAGTTGTTTTCTTCATTTATTTGATAGTTATGGGACTAAGATGGTATTTTCAAATAAATCACAACTCACCCCGCCGTAATCAAAATCAAGTCCACCGGGAAAAAAATTGTTTTGTAAACAATATGAATTGAAATACATTTTGCATTCATATTGAAACCGATTAAATAAAAGTAAAACCCGACCGACTCGAGTATTCTTATTACGGTGGAGTCAGATTAGTAACTTTGTGGGGAAAATAATGTTTCTAACGCCATTTTGAAAAGAGTTGAGGAACGTTTGAATACGAAAAAATATACCTTACACACAGCTATTCAAATCGCCTCTGTCAAATTTGCAATTGCAGTTTCCCCTACCTTGTTTAGGGTAAGGGCGGGAAGTTTAAATCACCTTGTACGTGGTATGGAGTCTGAATGATCCTGCTCTGCTACACAGGGTTATTCACGTAGACTACACATTAGAAGTTTTGAATAAAAACTCGAAAATTAGTAAGCTTTTATGATCGATCATTTCCAATCTTCTGAAATATTATTAGTCCTTCAGCTATACAAGGTGTGTCGATAGTCTTTTCTCATTTTGAATAGAAACCCACATTTTTTCCACACCTAATTCAAGTCAACTTATCTATGTAGCCTGTATAGCTGGGAGACTGAAAATATCTCAGGTACATTGGAAATGAGCTATTATATCAGCGTACCAATTTTTTATTTTTCCATTCTTTTAATCCAACTGCAAGTTGAATAACTTTTACGTAAATCACAACAAAAAATGCTCATCGCAGCTAACGGCCTGACGCACGTTTCACTCAGATTACAACATCACTTCGAAAAATATTCACAACTAAAAACTTACACTATTGGTGATCCTTCCTAGATGCACTAAACAAAAACACACAATTTTTTTCAATAACTCCCAAATAAACGTTCGCCACCCATTTTGGACTATCTGCATGCCGTGATTTCAGTCGTTCATCAAAGAGAATGAGCTGTTATGAAAATGTCACCAAAAATAACACACCAATTCCGCCTTTCTAACACACGTCAATATCGACGTATCGCAATTAAAATCGGATTTATTCAGACAGTTACTCAATTTCGAGAGTCCCATACAGCTATTACTTATCGAGATTTTTGACGATCTCAGGTGTTAAAAAATCAACAACCTTCACAAACCAAGTTGTGTAATCAGCTAATAAAATGTAAATTCCTATCAAAATCTAGTCTAATGTGAGAGCTTCAATTTCAGCTTAACTTGCGGTTAACGAGTTAAGTGATGAATAAGTGTAAAGTGAACGATGTGAACGACTTCATTCATGTATATGAATTGAGAATTAGTGGGGAAGGTATGACACACAATGTATGGAACTTGTATTTACCAAAAAAGCACTTCGATCAAAATTAGAAGAAACTTGGCTAAAAATAGATGATTTGTGAGTTCCGTATATATATTTTCCCGAAAGTCAGCTGATTTTCACTCATCAGAATCAGAGAAACCTTTGATGACAATGAACATAGAATGTGACAAGGCGGTAATTTTTCATTTTCTCTCAGGATCAATGATAAATTAAATAACACCAATATATCGGGTGGAAGTATCCCGTTTTTTTTCTATAAAAATTCACAAGTTGAGTCAGATTGAAATTATCCAGAAAAATGTTGATTCTTTTGTTTGTACACGCTAAACTCACTTATAAAGATCAAAACTGGATGAGTTATATATTTTACCACTGACCAAAGCGTGCTGCTTATACAGGGTGTCCCTAAAAAGTCTGTACATCTTAGCACATATTCCTGAAGTCAAAATAATCCGATCTGAAGAATTTTACCATTCACTTCAGTCCGAAATCGTTCCGTTTCCGAGATACAGATGGTGAATTTAAAAAATGAAATCGAATTTTCCAGAATTAATGAACATTTTTAAATGTATCACTTCAAAAATTGGTATCCGGGGTTTTCTGGATGCCATCAGAGGGCGTTTACCAATGCACTCCTTATGGTTCATAATTTGGAAGAAGATGGAAACTGCTCAACAGAAAATGTTAAACTAGGGCACCGTTGAGAGAATTGAACGCTCTTCAAAATGATGTGCCACTTGACCCTCCTTCCGATTTTGGATTCTAAGGGTAACATCTATCCCTCCTGCGGGGTTGAACCAAGGGGGCTAGAAAAATATTCATTTCAAGTGTCTCCCTTGAAAATAACATTGACCTGTCTTCTCGATTTTTCATATTATTTACTGGATGGAAGATATTGAGGATGGGAAATTTTCATGTCACCCTGTATTCAAGAATTTAAAAATTACTATGCATAGTATTATGTTTTTTTTTGTTGTTGTGATGGATTGAAGTTTCATTTGGGCAATGAATATAATTCAATGATCCAAAAGATCGACATGATTTATACACATCAAAATAATTATGTATAGGTTCATGTTTAACTTGAAATATCTCGAAAAATAGTGCCCACTTGACCCTCCTTCCGATTTTGATTTCTAAGGGTAAAATCTATCCCTCCTGCGGAGTTGAACCAAGGGGACTAGAAAAATATTCATTTCAAGTGTCTCCCTTGAAAATAACATTGACCTGTCTTCTGGATTTTTTCATATTATTTACTGGATGGAAGATATTGAGGATGGGAAATTTTCATGTCACCCTGTACTCAAGAATTTAAAAATTATTATGCATAGTATTATGTTTTTGTTGTTGTTGTGATGGATTGAAGTTTCATTTGGGCAATGAATATAATTCAATGATCCAAAAGATCGACATGATTTATACACATCAAAATAATTATGTATAGCTTCATGTTTAACTTGAAATATCTCGAAAAATAATTACTTTATCGCTATATGAAGAAGGATACATTCACGTAGGAAGTAGTGGATAATCTAAAACTCGTGACAAAATGACAATTCCGCCAGTGGCGTAGGATTCAGGAAGGGTGATGGGTATATAGTATCTACACTTCCCGCTAAA